AATGCAGCAGACGGTTCTGTTAAACAATGCAGCAGACGATTCTGTCAAACAATACAGCAGACGTTCTGTTAACATATTATAGGAGATGTCAAAACAAGGTGCAAGGGAAATAACCTGTGAAATGATAAACTTTCAAATAGACCTATATGTGATGGACCATTGTTACCTTACCGAGGGCAGCCATTTTGTTTTCTTGGGACTTTCACAAAGTTATGAAATTTTTTTATGGTGAGTCCAATCATCGACCCTGACAGTTTCAAATATTTCATTATGAACAAACTTTCCTGAATACTTCTTAATTTGTGTGTGCGTTTTTTAAAATTGGTAAATGGTGTAACTTTAGAAAATTAACTTTAAACACTTTGGTTTCCTTTAATATGGTTTCTGTGAAGTGACTGATGCCATAATTTGTAATACAATAATAATAATAATAAGGGGGTCTTATATAGCGCGGTACACCATACTAGGGCTGGGCTCACCGCGCTGAACATAAAAATTTTATCAAAAGACATTAAAATAAAATAAATTTATGAAATAAAGTACAGCAATAAAATGTATATTCACCCACCCCACAAACATAACTTTGACAAGGCAAACCATGGACGGCAGCCGGCAAGATCGTTTATCGGTCAGAGGAGGGGATTCAGTCAGTGTAGTATAGTTCAAAAAAATGTATTTTGAGTGCAGTCTTGTATATACCAGTGTATGTACGTCATATCTTTTTATGAACTTTGAGAAAATGCTGCGAAAAAGTTTACCCACGCGCTAGGTGCCAATAAAAAAAGTTTACTCACGCGCTAACTCACATTTCAGTACAAATTGAGCTTACGTGGATGTTTAAGATGTGATCTGACACGAAACAAATCTCTTGGGTTGACGCATGACGTAAAAACACAAAAAAGTTATGACTGTGACAACCAATAACAGTGATGACTGTGACAACGAATAACAGTGATGTCAGCTGTGGGATGAAAGGATAGGATTGACAAGCTTTGGAAAATTAACAAGCATATATATATATCATCACTTGTGCGCACATAGAACCATAACTTGCTGTGCACATACAATCATCACTTGTTGTATACACATATAACCAAGAGCTGCTGTGCAAATACAATCATCACTTGTATAAACGTACACTCATGAAATGCTTTACGCACATAAAATTACCTTGTGTACACACATACAAACACGACTTGTCATGCACACATACAAACACGACTTGTCATGCACACATACAAACACGACTTGTCATGCACACATACAAACACGACTTGTCATGCACACATACAAATATGACTTGTCATGCACACATACAAACACGACTTGTCATGCACACATACAAATATGACTTGTCATGCACACATACAAACACGACTTGTCATGCACACATACAAACACGACTTGTCATGCACACATACAAACACGACTTGTCATGCACACATACAAATATGACTTGTCATGCACACATACAAATATGACTTGTCATGCACACATACAAACACGACTTGTCATGCACACATACAAACACGACTTGTCATGCACACATACAAATATGACTTGTCATGCACACATACAAATATGACTTGTCATGCACACATACAAA